CTGAAGCACGGTTGGCAGGACTTTCTCCTTTCTCTGCCTAACATCAGCCTATGTTTGAACCTTATTTGAATTCTTTGTTTTGTTTTAGTTTTCATTCTGGGTGATAGCCATACTGCCTGCCTTTGCATCTACTCACCAAGGACACAGTATCCTTCGATGAATGCTTGCTTCTTGCCTGTGTGCACAGCGCTGTCAGAGTTATGAATTCTGTACTATGGCATTAAAAGAACAAAAGACTTATGCATAGATTGAAGTTAATAGATAGTTAAGAGTGATAAGCAGATTTGGTGTTATGGATATTTGAAAGAGCGAGAGGGAATTTCTGGCTAGATGTTGAGAGGGAATAAGGCAAGATTTTAGAAAAGAGAGCATTTGACTAAGAAATTTTACTGGGCCTTAAGGAGCCACTTAAGGCTTTTGAGTTGGGAAATAAAATATCAGTAGGACAGCAGTGAGTCAGCTGGAAAAGAGAAGTCAACTCCTACAGATAGAGAGATATCAGGAGGCTGGTGTGAAAGGGGACAGCTGTCAGAAAAATGCACTTGGTGAACCTTGCTGTGCCAGAGTGACTAAAGAACTGGGCACTTGTAGGGAAAGAAAAGGAGCAAAGGTGTCCCAGAGTGTGTGGGGTGATGGGAGAGTGGCAGTGCCCTGAATAGAATAGTGATGGCAGGAAGAGGACACAGTTTGCAGAGGAAGATAATGAATTTTCCGGGACACACTGATCTCAAAAAGCCTAAAGCACATGAGGAGGTCAGGAAGTCAGGAGTGAGGGATGCAGCTCAGGGGAAGGCACAAGCACTTGCTGTCTCTGAAAGGGTCTCCTTATGATTCATTTCCTGATAAAAAGCACCCCCCCATGCATAAATTAGGTGCCCATGTGGTTAGTTACATTAGGATTTTTCTCAAAGAGAGAAGATTTGTCACAATATATAAATTCCACAAATGAGTACAGTGAGCTAATCTTGGCTTCATTTTTAAAGTCAGGGATATTGTTCTAAAGGAGCTTCTTGGATCGTTTCTGTGCAGACTCAATAATCTTTAAGTGACATGTGAAAGTTGAGGTGATGACCTCACAAGTCCAGATGTTCCTTTCTTCTTTTTTAAGTTGAATTTTATCATATTGAATATTCCAATTGCTGAGATCATTAAAGTTATTTACAGTACTCAAAAACCTGGGAAACAGAAAAACATTTAAAAAAAAAAAAGCAAAAATTACCCATAATCCAACCACCAGGAACACACGACTGTTGTGAGGTGTTTTTCTACTCTATGTGCAGGAGTCACACACACACACACATGTACATGTGTGTATATGTGTGTATACACATGATGCATACATACACAAAATCATTTATTAAAATGATTATATGATATATGAACACACATATTTTCTAATATGGTGGGTGGTATTTTACACTTTATTTTGTATTCAAGTTCTTTCAGTTGCCATTACTTCTGAGCATTTCCCACATCATTAAAAATGTTTTGAAAATTTTGTTTATGTGCCACATGATATTGCATTATATAAACCTCTAATACCATTAAAGCATTCACCTGTCATCTGAAAATTTGGTGGGACATGTACTTGGAGAAGATGAACTGAGATGTATCACATTCCTCCAGAATGATGGCCTTCCCTTCTTACGAATGTAGTCCCTAAGGCTGGGAGTTTTAGATGGAGTCCGGCCAGTGCTTGGTGCACAAGCCCATGAGTGGTCAGGTAGTTAAGGCCTGGGGACCCAGAAGGCCTACCCACAAGCCAACTACTTCTTATATCTTCCTTTTATAAAAATTCTTAAAGATCATTTGCCTATTTCACCATTCCTCACACATTCTGACACATGTCTGGATGCCAGCATACAAAAACACACACACACACACACAATCAAAACCTAAAAATAGAGAATTTCTTCAAGTCCCTAAATCGATATTTTATCTTTTTTTGTGATATTCACTTTGCCCAAGGAAAAAAAAAAGTGTCTTGAAGGTAAACTGTAGGAAGTTAAGTTTAGACAAGATTGCCTCCCGTTCTGTGTCAGTGTAGTGAAAGGCCAGGGCCGTGGCACCAGCCCCAGGAGAGAGCAGAGCCCATGCACACAAATATGCATTAGTAGAACTGGACAGAGCACCATTGTTTTGATATCTTTCTGTTTTCACAGGTGCCATGGAGTCATTTTATGAGTCTTCACCATGACCCATGCCATAGAAAGACAAATATAGCTACAGTTTTGCTGAATCCAGGTTGAAAGTTCCTTTTTCAAACAAAAACATAATTTCTAAATCAGTCCAAAGCAAAGCCCAACATCTTGAATTCAGTGAACTCTTCCATTTATTCCCTTCCTTCCTTCTGTTCAACTTGTCTCCTTCAATGTTACTGTCTCCATTTTAAACATCATCAGCTGATAAATCAATTGACAGAGTCCTGTAGCAGTTCATTTTAATATTGAAGATGACAAACTATAGCCATAAATTTTTTCAGGAGAGAAGGTAATGGTATGTACTTGTGCATTTAAAAATTGATATAGGCATGAATAAAGATACTAGGGTCAGGCAAAATATAACTTCAAAGTCAATTTGATTTATTCCTTGATTGACTGCCTTTAGATAACAACATCTGTCCAAGGTTCTTCTAAGAACCTTGATAAGTTGGTGTTCTTTAAAATATAGTCTTTTTTAGAAAGAAAACTCCCTTAATTACTATATGTAGTATTATTAGAAAGCAATCACATGATTCTAACAAAAGGCAGGATTAGGCTTTCATCCAATTTCTTGTCTATCAAAGAAGAAAGAAAAGAATGGGATGTTTAACTCTAAAAACAGAAACAAAAGTTTAATGTGGTATTCATTTCATGCTTGTATTAGAGCTCCATGGGATTTTGAGCATGCCCAAAGGTGGCATCCTGTTTCATGAACATTGCTACGTAAGGGTAATAAACATACATACATGCACGCATGCGCGCGCGCGCACACACACACACATACACACACACACATTTCATTGTACAAAAGAGTACATTACTGGAGCTGGGATTGGCTCAGTGGCAGAGCACTTGCCTAGCATGTGTGAAGCTCTGGGATTGATTCTCAGCACCACATATAAATAAATAAAACAAAGGCCTCTTGACAACTAAAAAAATTTTTAAGAAAGAGTACATTATTAGTCATAAAAATAAATACATAAAATTTAGCCATGTCAAATAAAGTATATGAACTAGTGCTCTAGTGATTTTCTTTCTTGGGAATAGATGTCTGCTTCACAACTTTGCTTTCTATTTTCTTTCAAGTAAATTCATTTTCTCTCATGTATCTCCTTGAGTTCTAGTCTGTGCAGCCTCTGTGTCCCTCTTTCTTCCCTCCTTACCTTTCATGATTTCCAGTCAGTGATAGTTTTTATCCTTCTGATCCACAGTATACCCGCCCATTCTTGTACTCAAACACTTAGGTTTGCCAGCCATATGAAAAGAGCCTACTATAGCATCCTGTATCAGAGGATGGGGTCAGCATAAAAGACTTAATTTATTTAAATAGAAGTATAAACGTTTATGTTGAATATGTGAAATACATATATGTATATRTGTGAATTCAATGAATCCCCCCATTCCCTTTCTTCCTTCAATTCAACTTGTCTCCTTCACCGTTACTGTCTCTGTTTTAAATATCATCATCTGATAAATCAATTGTCAGAGATCTGCAGCAGTTCATTCTAATATTGAAGATGACAATAGATAGAGATAGATAGGTAGTAGGTAGGTAGACAGATAGATAGATCTCCATCATCCATCCCAGGGATACAGACAGAATGCATGAGTTACTTCAGTAGCTCACAAGAGCAGCTTGCTGGCATTTTTCAATTGAGAAAGAAGCATCTCCTGTTTATGCTCTACCATGCTCTGTGTCTGTTTTGAGCTCTTTTCATCTCCTACTCTTGAGAGAGGCTTTGTTGCACTAACCCTCTTATCCAAATTCCACAAGTCACAAATTCTCCACAAGCTAGGAGACCAGGCCTCAGCCAGGACCTAGTTTTACCAACTGGAGGCTTTAATTGAACTGGATTTTTAAAATCTCTAATAATACTCGTCTCTGTGTCCATTGGATTTTTACAATATCTAATAGTACTAATGACTTCTATACAGCCTGGTAATTTCATGTACATCCTTTAACCTCATAGAATATACTGTCATTTCTTTTGGCTCCTTTAGCCTCTATTCTGTCTCTAAACCTCAAAGGTTTCCAAGGCACTAGGTATGTACTAACAACTATCACAACCACGATAACCACCACCATAAAACACTATATAACACTTTATAGACTCCACCCCATGCCAAAAAAAAAAACCTTTCATATGTATGAAAAGTTTTCATAGCTTTTTTTTATGTAGTGAATTTGCTTTTGCTGATAATTAAACCTACTATGTTTAATAATTCCTCTCTTCTTTTTATGAAATATCCCAGTGGCTATTTCCCAGGTATTAGGAAAATCTTTACATCTGCCAAGAGAAGAAACTTATTTGCTCATACATGCTGCAGTGTTGTCAATTCTGAGGTACATGCTCTCATGCTTCAGTTACTTTCTCTTTCATCAGAAGTGAGACAGTAACTCTAATTGCTTGCTGAGCATCTGGAAGTACCATTAATAATGATGATGATAATAATAATGACCTCATAGGACGTATAATTTGGGGGATTAAAGAACATTTACAAGCTTATTGTGTCATAGTTAATGATGAGGTGCCAACTTTTCTTGCCACCACCCTTTCCAGTGGTATTTCCTGYTTGGATCAGAGAACTAATTTAGTAAACGGTATCCTTTTAAAGAATTTGCCCCATCCAAAAGCATATGCTAGCGCAAAGATATTGAACTGTTTTAGTGTTGTTTTTTCAGAGACGATTTATTAATGTTGTTTTGCATTTGTATAAAAATTGTATAATGTAATCATTTAGTGTTTATTTATTGTGTGTACCTTCTACTCAGAGGGTTGGCATTATTGTTCCTAACAGTGACGGATACAAGCAGATCATGCCTTATGACCTCTACCATCCCCTTCCTCGGTACGTAAATCAATCATCCTGATGTTAGAATTAGCAAATCAGTCTTCTGATGCTTTTATATATTTGTATATATAGACAATCTAGAGAGCGATTCTGTGTTTTTCTATAAAAAATAAGATGGTAGATGGTATATTTTGCAGTCCTTCCTGAGCTCTGCTTTTGAGTAACACTGGCCTTCTCAGACTGTAACCTTGTCATTTAAAACCCATTTTAAGATAGGATAAATCATATTACCTTGGAGTGGGCACAGTAATTCACTCTGATTACCTACATCATGTGGGTTAATGTTATGCCTTTCTCTCACTTGCTTTGCCTTTACTATGTCTCCTCTGCAGTAGGAGTTATTAAARTTAGTTATTAAAGCACTGTTGCTAACTATGAAAGAAACACTGCTGAAAATATTATCACCATACCACCAATATAGAATTAAAGATGTGGTATTTTTCTGCATACTAGCTTTAAATGTCCTCTTTCTATTTTAAATAAATTATAATTAATCACAAAGGGCAGTTTTTCTTAACCTTATTGTTCAGAACAATTTGTGTGACTTTTTTCCCTAAGCATAAAATGTAATGTGCTATTGTTTATTTTTTAAAGTACAGTCTTTTTTCAAAAAAAAAATAATGAAAGTAAATTTAAAAAATTTAAAAAGAACTTGTAGTCTTTATCAGAAAAGTGGACATGCTGAAAAATATACTAGCTACTGAGTATATTGCTTGTTGCATTGGAAACAGCTCCACAGATAGCAAAAATCAGAATTGGGTTTAAATAGATCTTTGCTCTATTTTCTTTGCTTATTTAGTCCTGCTATTTAGAACCAAGAGTTAGAGTCAGATTAGAAGTAGTTAGGATAATTTACAGTAGTTTGCTAAGTCCCAAATTTAGCCAAACCTAGAAAATAATTGTATTCTGAATTGTAAAATAAAGCAAAGTTTGATTAAAGTCTCCAAATCCCTAGTGAGTTAGTATCCAAATAGCGATCCCTGGAGATCATCTAGTTTAACTCCCCAGTAATGCTTCATTCTCCTATTTTTTTCCCCAACAATTGTATCCACATACCACAGATACATAAATACATATATTTATATAAATCCTCATTCATGTCAATTTAATGCATATGTATCCACACATATATATACATACATAGATATTTATATAATACATATACACCAGGGCAAGTTGTCATCCAGTGTCTACTAACATACTTCAGCAACTGGCAAGAGACTCACTTTACCATCCTAACAGTAGCATCTAGGAATGTGGGATTTGATTTATTCTAAATATAGTTATTGTTGATCAGTCCTTCTACTAAATGGCTACCTCATTAGTTAGTTTTCTCACACTTTCCTTTGACTATATTAATAAAGATAATKAATGACTTTAAAATGCTCTTTGATTATCATTTTGCTGATTTGATCCAGAATTCTTCTTCTCCTTGATAATTTAATGAAAATATCCAAAGATCAATTTAATTGAACCAAGATTTCCTTTGATGACAATTTTCATATCTGTAAAACAAGCATTTATAGGACACATGCATCTGTTTGTGTGAAAGTCAAACATTTTAAAATAAAGGCAAAGTTGGCTGTCAAAAATGAGCAACATCAAGTTTTTGTTTTTCCTGTAATGGCAGTTTCTAGATTTCTGTCATATCTTCTATGGTCTCTCTTATTTATATTTCTCTGGCATAACTAATGCCTCTCTTAGGTTAGAGTTGATCTCTTATAGAACTGTCCTTTCCCCAAAATGCCTTAAGGCCAGTGGTACATAGAAATGATCCTTCATGTTGGTTTGTACCATGTCCTGTGCACACATTTGGCAGGTCCATGTATCACAATGGGAAAGGACAATTAGCAAATAAAATAAACAGACTATTTCTTACCCCTTGAACTCCTGTTACTGATCTAGTTCTGAAGTTAGAAATTCTGTTTCCTGGCAAAGTACTAGTAATTGGAAGCTATTTCTACAAATGTGTTTTCATTTCATAAAAATACTTAAGTCTCAAAACCGGTTCTCAAATAGCAGCTACCCACTAATTAAGACAGAAGGCTTTAGTAATTTAAAGTATTTAAGTGGGTTTAAGACCATAAGTGTAGATATAAAACATTATGAATTTTTAGATTGTTATTTCCTGCTTTCAGTTTTTGGCTTTATATGTATCTGAACACAAAAATGTATTCTGATAAATTATCTTGATTCATAATTGACATATTCTACTGCTCATGTAAGTTTTAATTTTGAGAATTTCTTAAACTAAACACATTGTRTTTTTAAAAGAATTAAAGGCTGATGGAGTTAAAATACAAGATGTACAAACTCATTTAACATTCTTCCAGGACAAGATCCCAGGAAATGATTCTTGGATATGTCTTCTTTTATTCCAAGTGCTTACCCTGGTCACTGTTCTAAGAGCTCCTGACTAATGCCTTCTCAGCTTTTATTATATTTTAAAATACCCAAACATATTTTGCTTTAGAATTCCATATAACCCTAYTATTATGCAAGGATTCATATGATAATGTTTCACATATAGAACTATATTTGTATGCCGAAACCATACTGTTAATTCTTAAAATAATATTAGCCTCATTTCTCTTTTTGGGTTCACTGACATTGAAAAGGATACTTATTTCTATTTGTGAAGTTATACCATGGTCAGGTCCAAGTGTAAGACGGAAATTAATCACTCTCCCTTTAGAAGGATCAAATTTAGGGATTTTAGAGTACCAATTAGAACATGTGCTCTTTTATGGCATCTTAACATCCTAAGACATTAAATATATATTAAAAAGCACATTCTGAATTGTCAGATCAAATCCAGTATGAATATGTACTTACTTACATATTCAGCCTGACTTCAGTCTGACAGGCCTGCTATCCACCACCAAATGGAGGCCTTTCAGGAATTTACATGGAGACAATGAGAACTGGTCTTACCCTTTGGAATGATAAACTTTCTGCAGAGCTGTTTTATTCCCTCTCTTAAAGGGCATATTTTAAAAAGTCTCCCAAGAGTTAAACCAAGGGCCTCAGTTTCCCATAATGACATTTCTTTTGTGTCTCCTGGGTAAAAACACATAGGAAAATATTGTATTTGGCAGCATATCTTGACTGTTGGCAGTGGAGATGACAATTATTGCCTAAACTTGAACAGCACACAGAAAAGGTAGTAGAAAACCCTCTTAWCTGAGAAAAGCACATCATTCTGGCTCCTTCAGAAGAGAAATCAAGTTCACAACCTACATTAAACCTTACTTACAGAATAATTAAAGCTTTCCATGGAACAAATTTAGCTATTCAAGTAGAACAATTGGGTGACATTTTGTTTCTCTCTCATTAAAATTATCTCTCATATCTTTTAAGAGAAATTTTAAAGATCCATAGCAATCATCATCAACAAGCAGAATACACATAAGAGAAAGAAAAGCTCATTCAATTCCAATGCTTCTGTTGTAAGAAATCCCACATTCTGTAAATCTACAGGAGAAGAGAAAAGAATTAGGTAAAGATATCTCTCTGCCTCTGGTTCCCATACTTCAGAACTGTGTAGAGCTCTGAAAAATCAATGGAATTCTCTTAAAAGTTATTGGTAATGTTGTTATTTTCTACCTTAGTTAAGTATTTCTTAGACTCAGACACCATAAGCCTTTCAACCAAACTTCGTCACTGTTCTAGGAGTTCTTTACCTGAGGAACTCTAACTGCCAGTATCCCCCAACAGTGAAAGAATAAGTAGATGATGTTTGCATGAACAGTTTCCTCCTCAGTTTGATAATGACTCAATTTGACCATTGAAATTGTACAGAATCTTAGTCCCCAAACTGACACATACAGAAGCAAGAAGGAAGGAGCTTTTGCTTATGTTGATCTTTTATGAGTTTCTCCTGTCAAAAGTACCCAGAAGTAAAGTAATAAAATATCATCTTGAAAATAAAATTATTTTAGCTAGCCACAGTACCTATGATCCCAGCTACTCAGGAGTCTGAGACAAGAGCATTACAAGTTAGAGGCCAGTCTCTGCAATTTAGCAACACCTGTCTCAAAGTAATAAATAAAAAGAGCTGAGGATGTAACTCAGTGGTAGAGCCCCCCTGGGTTCAATCCCCAGTACCACAAAATAAATAAGTAAAATATAATAAAAGCATTTTTTCCCAGGAGCAAACTACTGGTATGAACTTGTTATCCATCTTATTCTTGACATATGTACTTTATGAGATTTGGTAAAAAAAAAAATAAGCTTAAATATGTATAAGATATGAATAATACATATATGTATGTATAAAATCTTGAAGTTATGGGAAGAAGGACTGAGGACTGAACTTCATCTCTTGAGTAGGTTATAGTCAGCACAGATATCCTGGAATCAGCTCCCTAAACAGTAATTTCTTACATATGTGTAAAGCTTCACGGTTTATGGAGCACTTTTGCCAACTTTGAATCCTTATTTCCTATTCCTCAAACTGTAGGCAGTAGGTGTCTTTGGTTCTCTGGACCATAGCCTCTGAGAATGTCACCATCCTAGGCCCAGGGAATGGGGTTGGTGTGACAGGTCACTGAGGAGCTTTGGCAATGTGCATGTCTGCCCTGATGACTCCCCTTGCTTCTGTAGGTGGGAGGCCACCCCGTGGACCGCCTGCTCCTCCTCGTGTGGGGGGGGCATCCAGAGCCGGGCAGTTTCCTGTGTGGAGGAGGACATCCAGGGGCATGTGACTTCAGTGGAAGAGTGGAAATGCATGTACACCCCTAAGATGCCCRTCGTGCAGCCCTGCAACATTTTTGACTGCCCTAAATGGCTGGCACAGGAGTGGTCTCCGGTAACTGTGCCCTCTTTCTTTGTTCATTAGGAGAGTAAGTCCACTCTTCCCTCTCGCCATCATGCCCCACTGGGAACCCCGTGCGGCTCTACCCTTCTCTCTTGAGGTGTCTAGAAGCCCACAAGCTTAGCTTCTGGAGTAGAAATGTTGTCAATTCAGCATAACCGAAAGCAAATTGATTTTTAATGTCTTTTTTTTTTTTTGAGCTACTTCACAGAAGCCTCCTCTAGTCCCCTCTGTTGGGGAAACCAGTGCCATTCAAGATTCACTGAGGCTGAATGACTGATCCTAAAATCTGTGAAAGCTTCTCTGATGATAGAGCTCAGTAGACTAGAGTTTTGATCTTAAACTTTATTTATTATACTCTATTTATATCCCAAAAGAGGCTAGTGGATTAAATTAAAACTGTGTCTAATATTCATTGRAGGGTGGATAAAGTGAAAACAGCACAATAAGGAGTACAAAGTGGACTATGAAAACCAGAAAATTATAGACATTAGGAAACCTGCAATAATTAAGCCTCAAATGTTATTCTGGGTTTCCTAACTGCTCATAGAAAAGGGAAATGGCATAGGAGATAGATGTGGAAATAAATCATTGTGCCCTTATCCATAGAAATGAACAGAACTCTTTATTCAGCCTCATGGCTTTGTGGGARCAGGTTAAAGCTGTGATGTCTTCCAGGGTCTAGACATGCAGCTAGACATGCAGAACCTTTGGGGGTGCTATCTACATCTGGCCATTGAATCTGTTCCTGTAAACATTTTTTTTTCATCTCAACATTATCAATTAGATTGGCCAYACTGCAATTTAAATTAGCCATGATGGCAGTTTAAAATTGTTTAATATCCACATGGGAGCTAGCATTTCCCATATTTTTGGACATTGCAGTCATTTGCTAAATAAAAAGCAATGTTGGTAATTTAACTTGAGAATACTGTATTCTAGTTTCTTTTCTCCTTTTTGGTGCTTGATTTGAGACTTTGCCCACACTGGGTGCCTCAGGATTGCTGACAGATGAAACCAAACCTAAGAAATAAAAGTGATTTAATTTTCAGCCAGCTTCCTCTCAATTAGCCAAACAGAAAAAAGATCCCATGACTGGTAAAAGTGGTCTAAATCCTCCGGGAATCTTCATATAAGGAGTCCTCATATAAAAAGCCTTAGGTGCAAAGTGAGGAAAAGGAAACAAGGCTTTGCCTATGAGTCTCTTCTCTCTTGCATTCTCTTTGCAGTGCACAGTGACATGTGGCCAGGGTCTCAGGTACCGTGTGGTTCTCTGCATCGACCACCGAGGAATGCACACGGGAGGCTGCAGCCCCAAAACAAAGCCCCACATAAAAGAGGAATGCATCATACCCACTCCCTGCTACAAGCCCAAAGGTAACCTGCTCTTTACTGGTCTAATTGTTRTATGTATTCAGATGCCATTTTAAACTCCTTTAAGTATCCCATTGTATTGTGAACAATGATTTTTTGTAACTTTATTAAATGTGCTTTTTTAAACCTTTCAAATTGTTTTGATTTTAAATTTTATTAAGTACTACATAGAGCAATTTGTTTATACAATTACCTCCCAAGTCATAAAGTTGTTTGAAGACTGTTGCCAAAAAATAGCAGATATGTCTGCATAAAAGGAGATCAGATTGTACAGAGAGATACGTGTAATTTACTGTCCACATTTCTTGCTGTTATGAGCAAAGGAGGGAATCTAGTTTTGTACAAAATACCTTGGGAAGTCTCATACTTCAAACTGATGAAACAGAAAATGTTGCTTTTATATTGGAAATTTAAACATTGAAATGAAACTTAATTCCAGAAGCATATTTTCAGTGAAAATTTGACATATATCAGAATTCAGTAGATACTAGAAATAATTTATTAAAGAAATAAATTTTAGAAAAGTTCTTCTTAGTGAGCAAACTGTCTTATAGTCATACTGGGCCTTCAGCTTAACATGAATACTAATCTGATTTTTGTGCTAGTTTTGTTACTAGTCTGTTAATGAAGCAGGAAAATCTAAAGTTACACACCATTTACATGTAAAGGATTCTTCACTATAAAACTCTTATAATTTTGAATGTTAAGTATGTTTTTCTATTCCTTTTTAAATTTATTTCTTAAGCCACTAAATGTCTGTGAAAATCAGCCATATTCTAGCTCTTTATAATACCTTTGATGTGAATGCATAGCATCATGAAATCTAAAATCAATGATGTAAATAAAAGGAAACCAAAAGCCAAACACATAGTAGAAATCCTGATAACTTTTAATAATTACATCTGTCTCTGAGCCTTAGTTTCTCCATCTGTAAAATTGGGAAGGTTTTAATTTCTCTCACTCTCACTTAGAGACCATGTGAGAATAAATGAGATATAATGTACCTAGGATGCTCAGCCTGGTGCCTGACATAGAGTAAATGCTCTCCAAAGGTTACCTTCAACTTTTGACCATAATTAGTGTCTTCAGATATTAGAGAAATGGCCCTAGGTGAACTGACAGGACTCAAGTCAAGTGAACAGTAAAGTATTTCAAGCTCACTCTTAGTTCCAGAGTGAACCCTTGGTCATTGAAAGGCAGGATGTTTGCACTGTCAGAGATAGCTTAATTGATCAAGCCATTTAATTGGGATAGATGGGGGAGTTGTAAAGTGATATACATACAGGTTCCATGTTGCTGGATTTCACATATTAGCAAATCCTTTTGACTTTGGCAATTTTTGTTTCTCACTTTATTTCCTGACTCAAAGCAATAGATGTATGTAGAAGACAAGTAKCGATGCTACCTACCCCAAATAATCAATTATTTACTAGTCTTGTCTTTAGCAAGTTACTTCAGAAAAAGAAATTTGTGGTTAACGATCAGGGGAAAAAAAATCTAGATTTTCACAACTAACCAGTGAATCTGGCTCTCTACATATTGTTAAAATACCATATAATTCTGTGGTGAGTGCATATATGGACATATTTCTTTCATCTTTACAATTATATGGTATAAAATGGTGATAGAGCTTGACTGGCTCATACTATAAAGGCAAATATGCCCATAAATGACCCTAATGAATATGTCAGGTTGGGAATCTTGGCAGTTACTTCTATAGGAGCAGTTAGAACCTCCCTACTTCTTTGTTTCCCTCCACCTTTTCCCCTAGGAAGTAGTTAGGAAGCTTGTTCTGAGTTGTTTGGCCAAAATTACATAAACAGGTGAAACAAGTCAAATTACAGGTTATGGGCTCAAAGTTGCATGTAGTCCAATTATCAGTGAGCCCTTGGTGTGGTATTGGACAAGTCAGCTAACTAAAGCAATGTTTTGTGAATTTCACAGAAGCCAAGATTGTTAGCTTTTGATAATTGGCATAGATAACACATAGCCAAAAGGCAAAAAGGAAACAAAATATTTTAATGAAAATACCACAATACAGTTTGTTGTGTTTTGTGTTTATTTTTAAAAGTATGAAACAATGCTTTGACGATTCCTGATATGCATATTGAACTAGTGTTACTAAAGCTGTGACTTTCATAATAAAAGGACTTTCCTTTGCTGTTTAATGTACTAAAGGGGAACCATGTACACAGAGATTAAAATCGCTAATATTTTGAAAATCCAATTTCATTTTTCTTGATATAACCATTATGAGAAACAGCAATTCACCTAAAAGCATTAGTTGCAGTTATCAACATAGTAAGTTTTCAGGTATAGCACACAACTAAAAACTGATGAGAACAAGGAACTTCCCTGAAATCCCAGATTGGTTCTGACTGCTTCTCTTTTATGTGCATGCACTCAATTCTCAGAGAAACTTCCAGTAGAGGCCAAGCTACCGTGGTACAAGCAAGCTCAAGAGCTAGAAGAGGGAGCTGCTGTGTCAGAAGAGCCCTCGTAAGTTCTTAAGCACAAATAGTTCTTCTTTTGAAGCTTATGGGTTAAAAGAAAGCAGTGTTTCACTGTCTGTGGCTCTCGTGGGTGCTGACCCAAGTGTCATTGTCTTCTCAAAGGTGAAGTGAAGTTTCACTTTTGAAAAATCAGAGATTTTTCATTTTCAAAGCATTGATCAAAACTTTGTATTCAAATGCAATTTAGAATTTTCTTTATCTACCCTGTCTGAACCTAAGTACTGTTCAGTTTGGCCTGAAGTAGAAAAATGCAGTGAATTGTTTGTCTTTGTCTCCAAAATCTGAGCTCTCTTCTCTTGGCAAGAGGCCAAAAGTGAGGAAGCCCAGTCGTTTGCATCTGATGATGCAACATAATTAGATATGCAAGTCTGGGCAGCATTTCAGTCCCCTTATCTTTATTTCCCAGCTTYGCAGTATAGCCACTCCAAAAAAGAAAGGGCTCACCCTTTCTCACTCATGAAATATAGATGAGGGCAAGGAGAGTTTTATAGCTTCCTTAGACCCTGATCTTTGCCCGACTTGTTCATGGTCCCATAGCTGCTCAGTCTTATCAAAGCAGGATGCACAGATTTGCCTGTAGCATCAGAAGAAGAGATAAGGAAGAAGAAAGAAAAGCAAGTTAGTTGATGGACTGATAAATTATATATTGATTTCACTAGAAAACACCAATAGGCATGTCTGCTGCCTTATTTTTACAGAAAAGGGAATATATTTTATTGGCCAATTTCAACTATGACCAAAGCAATTTCTCTGGTTGAAGATTTTCTAGATTAATTCATTTAATGTAAGTACTGGGTTCTCTGTTAGTCAATGGGAACATAAGAACTGTTACCCACCCTTCAAGAGTTCATAGTACCACATTTTCTATAGGAAATGTTTTTCAAATCAACCCATAGTTTAAATTTACTAGAGATATAAATGAACACTGTAATCTATATCATCAAATAAAATTTATGATTTTCTTAGATTTATCTTGTTTGAATCTAAGCCTGATGTGTTTTKTCCAGATCACAAAATAAATCTCACCCCAAACAGCAAGAGATTCAACAAGAATTTCAAAATACAGATTTGTTCAATAACTAAAGTTCATTTTAAAATAAATTGTATTAAATCACTTGATTTCACAGAAAAAAACAGTGCATTTATTAAGTAATACATTTTTTTTCTTTAAAAGGACAGCTAAGCAAAACAAATTATTTCTGTTCTATAAAGTTACTACAGCAACAACTTCTATTCTTTGAGAAAAGCAGCTAACCAGGGCAGAACTTTGGAGGAAATACAGTGGTTAAAGATCACATAGTGCAATATTTCAATGAATATATGAAAGGTGCACATTTACTTTTCTTGCTCCTGCCTTTTCCTAGTTGGACAGATCTTCTTTTTCCTGGGAGTAGCTCATTTTAGAAGGGCATTAACTCCTTCATCCACTAAGATCCTATTTAACACACAGAAAGATGCTGTGTATTTGGAGCTGATTACTCCTTATATGTATTCTTTGGTTCAATATGTTTAAAACCAAACATGTATTATTTTTCTTAAACTATCTGCTCTCTTGTGCATTATAATTTGGCATTCGGTCTAAAACATGATCTTATTTATAACATTGCATTCTGACCCATGTTAGATAATAGAACAAAGCTGAAAATAAATGGAAACATCTTTCATCTATAATTATACTCCTTTAACATTAGTATACACATCTCAGTTGAATGCTGTAACTGGAGTTTAATACTTCAGCAGAAGCATTCTGTAGACCTTGGTCACCCATTTTTTGTAATGAGCGTTTTCCACTGGTGCTCTGATTAAGATGATTTATGTTTAACTTTAATCTTAATAAAATCACTAAAGTAGTTAAACACATAGTTTTATCTATTGAACTATAGCCATATATTAGACCATTTAACTTTACTCTTGGTGTAATAGAACTGCCATTATGGTATGATTGATCTGAATTGAAGTAGATTGTAGTTGGAGAGCTAGTTCAGCTTAAAGGAGCTATATACAGTTATGCTCAGAACAACAATTATTTCTATACCAAAATAAAATAAATACCAGCTGTAGAATGATGTAGTGAAAGGTATATGGTTTCCACATTTTAATAGTTTTTACATGTTTAGTGCACTGAACCCCAAGAAAGGTCCTAAGTGTTACATTTTTAATTGATTCTGAATTTTAAAAACATAATTTTGTATGGTCTTAATTCCTTCTTTTTTAAAACCACATGGACCAGTCTCTAGATGTATGTAGTAGCCTTAAATTACTCTCCAAAGTATAATGAAAAAAATGATATACTGTCAGCAGGTCATTCCTCTCACCCCCCACCCCACCACCGAAGAAACTCACATTGCTTAAATTAAATGGTAATGTTTAGAAGCTGTGGCTGTCATTTCTGAACTGCTACACTGAAGCAGGAATAGTGATCCAGAACTATTATTTCTTGCATTAGCTCCAGAAACATTGAAGAGTTCTGTAGAAAAGCAGCAAATATCATTTATTTGCCCATATGGAAAGTGAAAATATTATCAACAGCCTGTCTCATTAAATAACACAGGAAAATCACTATGTTTAAGTCTTTAGCATATGGAGATACCCTTATGGAGTGTTAGATACTTTTAGTAACCCCAAAATATAAGAAAAAGATTGGTTAGCACTCTAGCCAAAAATATGTTGGAAAGAAACCTCTCTAAGATATGTTTAGAAGAAAACTATGATAAAGGACTAAAACAGAATTGCCAAGAAATAACTGAAACTTTATAGAAAAGAAGAATACACTGACATTGTGTTCCACTAAGCAAACACCATACAGAATATAAGAATACAGATATTGGTCTCCTAGAATCACTGAAATAATCATGTGGGTTGGGTCACCTGGTGTAAAATGCTTCTAGATTTATCATAGGAAGTTGCAGCTTCAATTCAGAAATACCTTAAGACATTTCTTGTTAATTCAACAACATAATGACTTACTTCTGATGTATCTGATGCAGGTGATACAAAGATAGGAACATTTTGATGAATATATTTTCTTGGTATGTAAAAATGAATCCCTACTCACTTGTGGAAGTTAAAACTTTTGAACTGGTTTTTCACTGGTGGCCCTGGTTTGTCTGATGTGGGCACAGCCTTTTATCAAGTTTTCCCCAAACCAGCAGCAAGAATCATTAAGCAAGAATTTTTTTTTAATTGTCATGTCTCCCATTGACCAGGACAATGCAACAAGATCCAAACCCCAAACTGAAATAGCCAGGGAAAGGCGTTTAGCCATGAAGCTCGTCAAACACAGGCAATCTTGTAAATAAATAAAATATAATAAATTGTTTTAGCAATTGTCCACTGGGGAATCCATAGAAATCCTTGCTGTCCAGTTAACACAGAGGAATTGTGATTCAGAGACAGGCTTCATATTTTTCTGAGGGTAATAACAATGCTCTTAGCCCTAGGAAAGGGAAATAGGGGAAATGCTAATGGATTTCTCTTCTTACAATTCAAACTGCCTCTGAAATTGCCTATAGCCTAGTCTATGAGAATGTTGTTAGATTTAGGACACATCACTTCTATGTCAGATTGAGCCCATCTGGTTCTTTCAACTGAAAAATATATAGGAATAGCTTTTAACCCCTCAAAGATTACTTTTATTTCATGGTGGGTCAAAAGCACAGTGTAGTAGTACATTTACATTCATTAGTCAGAAGCTAAAAGAATCATTGACAGAGTTCTCATCTCTTATTTTTTCTGCCTTTATTTTCAGTCTTGGTTGAGACATGGGCACAAACATCACTGTCACTTCGAGGCCAGTAAATACTTATGACCCCTTTGAAAAGTTAATTTCTTGAGGAAAAATGATAAAACAGTGATCTCTAGGGCATTTAAAGAAAATTTATTGAACAGGAAGCCATTCAGCTGGTATTCTTAAGAAGCCTATCTGATGTAGGATAGGAAGGAAATTACTCATTTCCTAACTCCTTCAGGCCACTAACACACCACCAGATGCCATGGAGGATAATTTGGTAAGAGAGACAGTCCTAGGAGAAAGGTATTACCTGGACACTTCAGGTACTCTGCCTTTCTCTTTCCAGTTAGTAGATAAAGTAGTTAGAGGAAGTGAGGACTAACTGGGCACCAAGGAAGTCAGGTTCTTTCCAGATATATTTCAGTTGCTGGAGTTCTTCAATAGTTCAGAATAAGCAATAGCATATAGCAGTCCTCTTGGGTACTATGTAGCCAACACAGCCATTTTAACCAGACATCCCCTCATCAAATAGCTGGCATTCACCAGATAGAAGGCCTTATTTATAGATGCCATCCTCCTCTCAAAGGTAAGATTGAGTAGTCCTTGTGCCTTGATCTTGCATTTTGAGCAATTTTGGTTTTCAGTCAACAGATTTGTRTGGTTAAGAAGTCATTTGGGAACTTCAACATAAGACTCAGGCCTTAAATGTATTGCCATAACCTTGGTATAAGCCAGGAAGAAGAAGTGCTCTGTTTTCCTTGTTGAAAATAGTATTTAAATGTACAATATTTAATTATATGTTTACATAAGTTCATATTTATACCTTGTAAATTGTTTGAGAATGTGGATGGCTTAACTCAGTGATTAAGAATATGAATTCATATTTTTTAAAATGGCTAGAAATATTAACTGTGCTATATACATTTGTATTTCCCCCAAAGAACATGAAGGGGATCAAACATCAGTAATGAATCCAGATAGTGTTGCTGTTTATATTCTTAATATAAGTTACCCGAATAACATTCTGTCCATGAGTCTCAAAATGGAAAATAACAAGGAATATCTCATATATGCATAGAAACATGTCTTCGGAATGGAGAGCCATCTATGATCAAGAAATTTAAATTGTGTTTTCAGATCATTAAACCCCCMAAAAAAGATGTTCCAGCAGCACAGATTTGAGCATAGGAACTATAAGACAAAAAAATCACAAATGCATTCAAGTTCAAGAATTATCAGAGTAGAATGAAGGCCTC